GCCTATGTCCAGCTGTGCTTGGACACTCAGTCGGTGCCAGGGTTCCAGGGAGATGTAGTCGGTTTATGTCCAGCTGTGCTTGGACAGACTGAACCCGTGCCAGGGTTCCAAGGAGATGTAGTCATTGGTCTATGTCCAGCTGTGCTTGGACAGACTGAACCCGTGCCAGGGTGCCAGGGAGATGTAGTCGTTGGTCTATGTCCAGCTGTGCTTGGACAGACTGAACCCGTGCCAGGGTGCCAGGGAGATGTAGTCGTTGGTCTATGTCCAGCTGTGCTTGGACAGACTGAACCCCAGGGAGATGTAGTCGGTTTATGTCCAGCTGTGCTTGGACAGACTGAACCCGTGCCAGGGTTCCAGGCAGATGTAGTCGGTTTATGTCCAGCTGTGCTTGGACAGACTGAACCCGTGCCAGGGTTCCAGGGAGATGTAGTCGGTTTATGTCCAGCTGTGCTTGGACAGACTGAACCCGTGCCAGGGTTCCAGGGAGATGTAGTCGGTTTATGTCCAGCTGTGCTTGGACAGACTGAACCCGTGCCAGGGTTCCAGGGAGATGTCTGATTGTCAAGCCTGGCCTTGAAGCGTCAACATCGTGTATGTGAATCAGTGGTGGCTGATCACACAGTGGCAAGAAATCAAAACTTCAGCTAACTACCATGTCAATCCATTCTGAAAGAATCTGTCCGATGATTAGATATTAGTCTGATGTTTATTTTGATGGAAATTTTGATGTTTATTCTGATGTTTTATGGGGGTACCGTGGTCCTTTTATGGGGAACACAAAAATAGATCCACTGCCTTCCCAGCATGCATGTCGTAGGAGTACTAATTTGGGGTTTCCTTCGAAGTCTGCATCTGCCTGAGAGACAAGGAACCAACAGTCTGCGTACAAAAGTCAGGTCTTTAAAACGGATGTGTATCCAAGACTCCGGTTCTGAAACAGGACTAAAGTACAGAGATGGACGAACAATCAAAACTTTCCTCTCCCCCCCCCCATCTAAAAAAAAAATGATCTTTTTTCCCCGTTTAATTACATTGTACTTGGTGAATTTAAACTCTTCTTGTAGAGTGCATTTCAGGTTTAATATCAGGTGTTTTTGTTAAGAGAATGAAGATCTAAAATCTAACCCAGAGGGATTTATTGTCAGCACTGGCCGAACCCTTCTCCATTAACCAGTTAGGCTGGCAGGTCTAATATGTTGGGAGGAAATTCCCAGGCTGCGGTCTTCTGGCAACTGTCTGGTAGGGAAGTCTGTCTTCATGACTTATTCATAAGCCACTCTGGCTCTTTCTAGTAAAGTCACCCTCTCAGCAGTAGAATTTTTCTGTGTCCATCATCGTGCAAAGAGAGAGAACGACATTCTTTGACTTTCCGTAGATGTGGAATAGTTACAAAAATGTTACATATCCTTTACATAACTTTGCAAAACCAATCACAGAATTGTTCGGCTGCTGTGGTTTTTTTAGGCAAATTACCCTCAATACCAATGTCAAAACAAACGCAAGGCGGTCTGCTGCCAAATCGCCTGCGGCTGGTATCGAACCCGGCACCCTGGCATTGCGAAGCGCGTTGGCAATGCGAAAGCTAGAGACGGCGACGTGTAGCACAGAGGATTCAATTATACAAGTATACACGGTGGGTCACTTGGGTCTGTGTCGTGGGTCACTTGGGTCTGTGTCGTTGTTCACCGGGATCTGTGACCTGGGTCACTTTGGTCTGTGTCTTGGATCGCCTGGGTCTGTGTGCTGTCGCCTTGTCTGTGTCCTGGGTCGCCTGGGTCTGTGTCGTTGGTCTCCTGGGTCTGTGTCCTGGGTCGCCTGGATCTGTGTCGTTGGTCTCCTGGGTCTGTGTCCTGGGTCGCCTGGATCTGTGTCGTTGGTCTCCTGGGTCTGTGTCCTGGGTCGCCTGGGTCTGTGTCGTCCAAGACAAGATGCTGTTTATTAGCAAATCTTCCTTGATATTGAGATCTTGTAAAATGTCTGTATTTCTTCTCTTCGTTGACTATGGTATCGTTCAACTGTATACCACAGTTACACTAGGGCAGCCAGAGGCTACTCTCAACACCCCGTGGTACTTTGTGGCTAAGGCGGCTGTCGAGGCTAAGCGTTATGGAGTAGTGCACAGATGGAGATGTGCGAATGACCGACCAGTGAGTGTTGAGCGGATGTGTAGTTACCAGACACTGCGTGGAATACTGCAGTGCGTTTAAAAGTCGTGTCCTGACACTTTAACAACTATCGCAAAACCTCCTGCAGGCATCAACACAAATGTTTCGCACATGGCCTTAGATTTCACATTTCCTAAAGTTTTTTATAATTTACAATTGCACAGGTGATGCTGTTTTCTTAAGGCGGCGACTTTTCTTGATAAAGATATTTTTTTTTATTTTTTTTTTTTTAACATTAAAAAAATTCTTACAGGTACTTGATTGTTAAGAGATTGTATGCTAACTTTGAACAATTGACATCGACTGATTTCTGTACGACAGATTTTAAAAGCTTCGCAGGAATTCTGAACCGGACCACAATATTGTACGGCAAATCGAACCCACTAACAATCTTTCTTAAATTGTGTGCAAGAATCAAAGTAAAATGGAAAAGCTGGGTTGACAACATCGCCCAATAGACGCCTGATTGCTTGTATAAATCTCCTTAGCCAGGACACAGACAAACACGACCCAGGACACAGACCCAGGAGACCAACGACACAGACCCAGGCGATCCAGGACACAGACCCAGGCGACCCAGGACACAGACCAGGCGACCCAGGACACAGACCAGGCGACAGCACACACCCAGGCGACCCAGGACACAGACCCAGGCGATCCAAGACACAGACCCAAGTGACCCACTACACAGACCCAGGACACAGACCCAGGACACAGACCCAAGTGACCCACGACACAGACCCAGGTGACCAACGACACAGACCCAGGTGACCCACGACACAGACCCAGGACACAGACCCAGATGACCAACGACACAGACCCAGGTGACCCACGACACAGACACAGGGGAGACAGTTTTGATGAATCATGAACTTTCGAACGGAGACGACTCTTGATTGCTTAAGGTTGGAACCTCCCCCCTCCCAACTTACCATCATCGCCAAAGATCCAGGCGTGGCTGAAAGATGAGGCTATGATCATCGGGTAGGCCATCAGAGGGTGACCCAGGTCAGAGAAGGCAAGCCAGACCACGTAGCAGTCGGTGACCTTAAGTGTTTTTCGCTTCCACACAGACAGACAGATGATAGCGCCGTTCAGCAGCACAGCCAGGATCTCTGCAAGTAATCAAAGATTGTAGATTCCCCACGTGTGCAAGCAATCACAGATTGTAGATTCTCAACATGTGCAAGCAATCACAGATTGTAGATTCTCAACATGTGCAAGCAATCACAGATTGTAGAATCTCAACGTGTTCAAGCAATAACAGATTCAAGATTCTCAACATGTGCAAGCAAAAAAAGATTGTAGATTCTCAACGTGTCCAAGCAATTACAGATTGTAGATTCTCAACGTGTCCAAGCAATTACAGATTGTAGATTCTCAACGTGTCCAAGCAATTACAGATTCAAGATTCTCAACGTGTCCAAGCAATTACAGATTCAAGATTCTCAACGTGTGTAAGCAATCACAGATTGTAGAATCTCAACGTATTCAAGCAATCACAGATTGTAGAATCTCAACGTATTCAAGCAATCACAGATTGTAGAATCTCAACGTATTCAAGCAATCACAGATTGTAGAATCTCAACGTATTCAAGCAATCACAGATTGTAGATTCTCAACTTGTGCAAGCAATCACAGATTGTAGATTCTTCACTCGTGCAACATTCAAAGATTGTAAATACTCAACATTGAGATCCAACACACAAACACACACACACACACACACATATATATATATATATATATATATATATATATATATATATATATATATATATATATATATATACAACACTCATATACACAAACACACACACACACACACACACACATATATATATATATATATATATATATATATATATATATATATACACACACACACACTCATACACTACACACTCCTACAAACATACATTGACACATATACTCACAGAAGCTCACACCCCACACACACACACACACACACACACACACACACACACACATACACAAGAATACAAGACAACGTGTTTACCAAAGTCTTTATCAGCAAAGATTACAGATGACACTAGTTAGTAATCGGCTAGGCACTAAAATACCGCAGGCACACATGAGCGACCCACTTGCTGGGACATGTAAATAAGGAAATTCGGAACACGTAAATATGGAATGTCGGGACATGGAATTATGAAATGTCGGAAAATGGAAATATGAAAGTCAGGAAACGGAAATATGGAAATTCGGGACACATAAATATGGAAAGTCGGGACACAGAAATATGGAAAGTCGGGACACAGAAATATGGAAAGTGGGGACACAGAAATATGGAAAGTCGGGACACAGAAATATGGAAAGTGGGGACACATAAATATGGAAAGTCGGGACGAGGGGGTGAAATAAAAAAAAAAAATTTGTTAGGTGGCGTGTTGGGGTGGATTCGGTAAAATCATAGTCGGAAACGAACTTTTTTTTTTTTTTTTTTTTGAAGTATCCAGAAGCCATGTGCTGTTAATCCTTAGGCTCGGTATAAAAAAAAAACAACAACACAGGACACACAAAAATAATGAAACAAAAGTGTATATACATACACATGATGGTGAGTATCGATTACCACTGGGCAAAGACTGTCTAAATAATGAAAGGGTCGATGCCCAAAATGAGACGAGTAGAGTGGGTCGAACGTCGTTCAGAATAAGTAGTGAAATCTACATAAGGTTTGAGCCGACCACTCAATTCTAGTGGCTGTCGGAAGCTAGTGCTACAGATGCCCATCACAAACCACGATTAGAGACAGGGGGAGCCAGCACGCGCAGTTGTGATTAGAATAGGTTTATGAACCTAGAATAGATGCCTGGTGTCTACGGAGACAACACACAAGTCTTTCGACTGGCAAAAATAGCACAGCAAGATGGCCGCTAATATTATGACTGTGTGTGTGTCTGTGTGTCTGGGTGTGTGTGTGTGTATATATATGTATATATATATAGATATATATATATATATATATATATATATATATATATATATATATATATATATATATATATATATATATGTATGTATATATGATATCTCTTTCAATATCTATATCTTTCTTTCTTATCCTCCTTCTTTTTCTTCCTCAACACCTTCCCTCTCTACCTCCCTTTCTTGCTTACCTTCTCTCTTACAATAGCCACCCTCCATACACTCCTGCCCTCTCCCCCTCATATTTCTTTGTCTCGTCCTGTCACTCATTCAGTCACTCACTCAGTCACTCATTCAATCTTTCTATCTCGCATTCTCCACCCCTCCTTCTGTTTCTCTCTTCTTGTTGAAGGTTTACATCTTTCTGGCTCTTCCCCTCTTTGTTCCTGTATCTCAATACCCCCCCCCCCCCCCCCCTTTCCCTTCAGACATTTCGATAAAAAAATGAAGAGCCTGTAACTAACTGTAGTCTGTATTTGATTCACAGAAGTAAAAATCTAAATGTCGACATGGAAAACTCATCTATGAAACACGATTGCTGGTGAAAGCCATTGGTGTCTTAATATCTGCAGTCGGAGCTATAGGCAACTCGCGGCCGGACGCTCCACAGTCGGTATCAACATTTGAAGTTGTAGTTGCCAGTGACTTGACTTCCCGTATGAATATTTTAAGTTGGAGCGGCAGTTGCCAGCTGGTTGGAAGCTCACCTACCATAAACTACCGGACAATAGCGGACACTGCCGGACAATGACGGACAGTACCGGACAGTGGCGGACACTGCCGGACAATGGCGGACACTGCCGGACACTACCGGACAGTGACGGACACTAACGGACAGTGGCGGACACTACCGGACAATGGCGGACACTACCGTACAGTGGCGGACACTGCCAGTATGAAGGGATTGTGTTCCAATCTGCAACAGGGCAGAATTTTTATAATAGATATTGACTCGCTGGTTGACCTTCTTGTCTACAACAGGTATGAGGAAGAGTGCAGGGAAACAAAAGCTACCGATGTCATGTTGACCACATTAGCCACTGAGTCCCACTTGGGCTATACAAATATGATTCTAGCATCATATGTTCACAAACAAACAGACACTGAAATTGGAACAAAAATGCTCGAGCAAATGAATAGGAGCAAAGAGAAACCCTGCGAAAAGCGCGGGCAAAAGAGACTAAAGGTGCGGAATCTGTCCATTATAATGTAACAATTACAAAGAACAGAACAGGAGGGAGGTTAGTGAACAACAAAACAGGAGGGAGAAGTGTGAACAACAGAACAGGAGGGAGGCTAGTGAACAACAGAACAGGAGGGAGGAGTGTGAACAACAAAACAGGAGGGAGGAGTGTGAACAACAGAACAGGAGGGAGGTTAGTGAACAACAGAACAGGAGGGAGGTTAGTGAACAACAGAACAGGAGGGAGGTTAGTGAACAACAGAACAGGAGGGAGGTTAGTGAACAACAGAACAGGAGGGAGGTTAGTGAACAACAGAACAGGAGGGAGGTTAGTGAACAACAGAACAGGAGGGAGGTTAGTGAACAACAGAACAGGAGGGAGGTTAGTGAACAACAGAACAGGAGGGAGGAGTGTGAACAACAGAACAGGAGGGAGGAGTGTGAACAACAGAACAGGAGGGAGGTTAGTGAACAACAGAACAGGAGGGAGGTTAGTGAACAACAGAACAGGAGGGAGGAGTGTGAACAACAGAACAGGAGGGAGGAGTGTGAACAACAGAACAGGAGGGAGGCTAGTGAACAACAGAAGAGGAGGGAGGTTAGTGAACAACAGAACAGGAGGGAGGAGTGTGAACAACAGAACAGGAGGGAGGTTTGTGAACAACAAAACAGGAGGGAGGAGTGTGAACAACAGAACAGGAGGGAGGTTAGTGAACAACAGAACAGGAGGGAGGAGTGTGAACAACAGAACAGGAGGGAGGAGTGTGAACAACAGAACAGGAGGGAGGCTAGTGAACAACAGAAGAGGAGGGAGGTTAGTGAACAACAGAACAGGAGGGAGGAGTGTGAACAACAGAACAGGAGGGAGGTTTGTGAACAACAAAACAGGAGGGAGGAGTGTGAACAACAGAACAGGAGGGAGGTTAGTGAACAACAGAACAGGAGGGAGGAGTGTGAACAACAGAACAGGAGGAAGGAGTGTGAACAACAGAACAGGAGGGAGGTTAGTGAACAACAGAACAGGAGGGAGGAGTGTGAACAACAGAACAGGAGGGAGGTTAGTGAACAACAGAACAGGAGGGAGGTTAGTGAACAACAGAACAGGAGGGAGGAGTGTGAACAACACAACAGGAGGGAGGAGAGTGAACAACAGAACAGGAGGGAGGTTAGTGAACAACAGAACAGGAGGGAGGTTAGTGAACAACAGAACAGGAGGGAGGAGTGTGAACAACAAAACAGGAGAAAGGTTAGTGAACAACAGAACAGGAGGGAGGAGTGTGAACAACAGAACAGGAGGGAGGAGTGTGAACAACAAAAAGGAGGGAGGAGTGTGAACAACAGAACAGGAGAAAGGTTAGTGAACAACAGAACAGGAGAAAGGTTAGTGAACAACAGAACAGGAGAAAGGTTAGTGAACAACAGAACAGGAGGGAAGAGTGTGAACAACAAAAAGGAGGGAGGAGTGTGAACAACAGAACAGGAGAAAGGTTAGTGAACAACAGAACAGGAGAAAGGTTAGTGAACAACAGAACAGGAGGGAGGTTAGTGAACAACAGAATAGGAGAAAGGTTAGTGAACAACAGAACAGGAGGGAGGTTAGTGAACAACAGAACAGGAGAGAGGTTAGTGAACAACAGAACAGGAGAAAGGTTAGTGAACAACAGAACCGGAGGGAGGTTAGTGAACAACAAAACAGGAGGAAGGTTAGTGAACAACAAAACAGGAGAAAGGTTAGTGAACAACAGAACAGGAGAAAGGTTAGTAAACAACAGAACAGGAGAAAGGTTAGTGAACAACAGAACAGGAGAAAGGTTAGTGAACAACAGAACAGGAGAAAGGTTAGTGAACAACAGAACAGGAGAAAGGTTAGTGAACAACAGAACAGGAGAAAGGTTAGTGAACAACAGAACAGGAGAAAGGTTAGTGAACAACAGAACAGGAGAAAGGTTAGTGAACAACAGAACAGGAGAAAGGTTAGTGAACAACAGAACAGGAGAAAGGTTAGTGAACAACAGAACAGGAGAAAGGTTAGTGAACAACAGAACAGGAGAAAGGTTAGTGAACAACAGAACAGGAGAAAGGTTAGTGAACAACAGAACAGGAGAAAGGTTAGTGAACAACAGAACAGGAGAAAGGTTAGTGAACAACAGAACAGGAGAAAGGTTAGTGAACAACAGAACAGGAGAAAGGTTAGTGAACAACAGAACAGGAGAAAGGTTAGTGAACAACAGAACAGGAGAAAGGTTAGTGAACAACAGAACAGGAGAAAGGTTAGTGAACAACAGAACAGGAGAAAGGTTAGTGAACAACAGAACAGGAGAAAGGTTAGTGAAGAACAGAACAGGAGAAAGGTTAGTGAACAACAGAACAGGAGAAAGGTTAGTGAACAACAGAACAGGAGAAAGGTTAGTGAACAACAGAACAGAAGAAAGGTTAGTGAACAACAAAACAGGAGAAAGGTTAGTGAACAACAGAACAGGAGAAAGGTTAGTGAACAACAGAACAGGAGAAAGGTTAGTGAACAACAGAACAGGAGAAAGGTTAGTGAACAACAGAACAGGAGAAAGGTTAGTGAACAACAGAACAGGAGGGAGGTTAGTGAACAACAGAACAGGAGGGAGGTTAGTGAACAACAAAACAGGAGGAAGGTTAGTGAACAACAGAACAGGAGGGAGGAGTGTGAACAACAGAACAGGAGGGAGGTTAGTGAACAACAGAACAGGAGGGAGGAGTGTGAACAACAAAACAGGAGGGAGGAGTGTGAACAACAGAACAGGAGGGAGGAGTGTGAACAACAGAACAGGAGGGAGGTTAGTGAACAACAGAACAGGAGGGAGGAGTGTGAACAACAGAACAGGAGGGAGAAGTGTGAACAACAGAACAGGAGGGAGAAGTGTGAACAACAGAACAGGAGGGAGAAGTGTGAACAACAAAACAGGAGGGAGGTTAGTGAACAACAGAACAGGAGGGAGGAGTGTGAACAACAAAAAGGAGGGAGGAGTGTGAACAACAAAACAGGAGGGAGGTTTGTGAACTACAAAACAGGAGGGAGGTTAGTGAACAACAGAACAGGAGGGAGGAGTGTGAACAACAAAACAGGAGGGAGGAGTGTGAACAACAGAACAGGAGGGAGGTTAGTGAACAACAGAACAGGAGGGAGGAGTGTGAACAACAGAACAGGAGGGAGAAGTGTGAACAACAGAACAGGAGGGAGGAGTGTGAACAACAGAACAGGAGGGAGGTTAGTGAACAACAGAACAGGAGGGAGGAGTGTGAACAACAGAACAGGAGGGAGGAGTGTGAACAACAGAACAGGAGGGAGGTTAGTGAACAACAGAACAGGAGGGAGGTTAGTGAACAACAAAACAGGAGGGAGGAGTGTGAACAACAGAACAGGAGGGAGGAGTGTGAACAACAGAACAGGAGGGAGGAGTGTGAACAACAAAACAGGAGGGAGGTTAGTGAACAACAGAACAGGAGGGAGGTTAGTGAACAACAGAACAGGAGGGAGAAGTGTGAACAACAGAACAGGAGGGAGGAGTGTGAACAACAGAACAGGAGGGAGAAGTGTGAACAACAGAACAGGAGGGAGAAGTGTGAACAACAGAACAGGAGGGAGGAGTGTGAACAACAGAACAGGATGTGATGCCGCTGATGCTGTTGATGATTATGCTGATGATTTTGACATCCCATAGGGTCAACGACACAATCTGACGATAATAATGATGATGATAAGGATGAGGAGGTTGATGGTGATGATGATGGAATCCCATGAAGCCAACGATACAACATACCGATGATCATGACGATGATGACAACGACGATGATGATAATGTTGACGATCAGTTGGACGACGATAATGATGATACTGTTATTCTAGAAGCACCAAAGCCGTGGGAAAGATGCTTTATTATGTTTATAAACATGAAATTAATTATTGTATGAACATGTTCAACTATGTTCTTTGGTGGTCTCCCGGTGTGTGTTCCGGAGTCCCATTGTGGGGGAGACAAGAACTGACCCACTGTCTCCCCAACAGGCACTTCGTGCTTCTACCTGGTAGGACAGGAACCAACAGTCTGCATACCAATAAGTCAGGTCTGTAAATTAAAGTTACACGCAAGGCATAATAAATTCTGGAACAAGACTAAAGTCCAGAGATGCGTGAACAATCAGAAATAGAAGAAGGTACTAGTATTCACTTAGAGCTTAAGGGATATGTTTACAGAAACGGGCTGTTATTTTTGAAATCACAATTTTCATAATAAATGCGTTCATAAAACTTTACAGCAAAATTAAAATACAATCAGCTTGATTGCCCAATACATCAGAGTGAAAGGGGACAGAAAGCAAAACAATCATCTGTAAGGACAATCACTGGCAAAGGAAAGTACCTAGATACCTTTGTCCTCACAACAAGATTGTTCTATCGACTCATCAATTATCCTCTTCCGTTCGACGTCAGCCCGTTCTGCGTCTGTCTCCTCGTTTTGTGCATTGCGTCATTGTTCTGCTTACATCATGAAACTTTAATCTGCAAAGAAGGTTGTCTCAAAATACACGCTTCTATTTCTCATAGTTCCTGTTGTGTGGCTTTATTAATAATGTCTTGCCACAGACACGCTTCTATTTCTCATATTTCCTGTTGTGTGGCGTTATTAATAATTTCTTGCCACAGACACGCTTCTATTTCTCATAGTTCCTGTTGTGTGGCGTTATTAATGTCTTGCCACAGACACGCTTCTATTTCTCATAGTTCATGTTGTGTGGAGTTATTAATAATTTCTTGCCACAGACACGCTTCTATTTCTCATAGTTCCTGTTGTGTGGCGTTAGTAATGTCTTGCCACAGACACGCTTCTATTTCTCATAGTTCCTGTTGTGTGGCGTTAGTAATATCTTGCCACAGACACGCTTCTATTTCTCATAGTTCATGTTGTGTGGCGTTATTAATGTCTGGCCACAGACACGCTTCTATTTCTCACAGTTCCTGTTGTGTGGCGTTATTAATGTCTTGCCACAGACACGCTTCTATTTCTCATAGTTCCTGTTGTGTGGCGTTATTAATAATGTCTTGCCACAGACACGCTTCTATTTCTCATAGTTCGTGTTGTGTGGCGTTATTAATAATTTCTTGCCACAGACACGCTTCTATTTCTCATAGTTCGTGTTGTGTGGCGTTATTAATAATGTCTTGCCACAGACACGCTTCTATTTCTCATAGTTCGTGTTGTGTGGCGTTATTAATAATTTCTGGCCACAGACACGCTTCTATTTCTCATAGTTCGTGTTGTGTGGCGTTATTAATAATTTCTGGCCACAGATACGCTTCTATTTCTCACAGTTCGTGTTGTGTGGCGTTAGTAATGTCTTGCCACAGACACGCTTCTATTTCTCATAGTTCCTGTTGTGTGGCGTTAGTAATCATGTCTCCACAGCCTTCTGTCTGGTGTGGATCCAACAGTTTCTGATACATTGGACCTTCCATGCCATAATGTCAGACTGTTCAACATGTTCTCTTGGTTACCCCCCTTATTTACTATTGTCACGATGCATTCCAATTTCATGATGTGGCCAAAGAATGTCAGTCAATCCCTCAGTTAGCCTGTACTTTACAGAACGTCGCTCTCCTCACGGTACACCTGAAGGTCTCTATTTCTCTAGTCAGTTCTTCAGTCCTGTGTGCTTTCATTGCCAATGCATATCCAATGTCCTGCATCCACCTTCGCTGTGGTCGGCGTCTGCCTGGTTTACCGGAAACTGCAGCCTCCCTCAACGTTCTCTACACGTCACCACGGCGCTGGAGATGTCGAGAATATCCCAGCTTTCAGGAGCGGATGCTGTTTACGAGATACTTCTGAAGAATGTAGATTCGAAACATGTGACACCACCTTTTGAAGTTGTTAGCTCACATGCAGCTTGTCCACCACCTGTTGAAGCTGTTAGCTCACAGGCAGCTTGTCCACCACCTGTTGAAGCTGTTAGCTCACAGGCAGCTTGTCCATCAAATTTTGAAGTTGTTAGCTCACAGGCAGCTTGTCCACCACCTGTTGAAGCTGTTAGCTCACAGGCAGCTTGTCCACCACCTGTTGAAGTTGTTAGCTCACAGGCAGCTTGTCCACCACCTGTTGAAGTTGTTAGCTCACAGGCAGCTTGTCCACCACCTGTTGAAGCTGTTAGCTCACAGGCAGCTTGTCCACCACCTGTTGAAGTTGTTAGCTCACAGGCAGCTTGTCCACCACCTGTTGAAGCTGTTAGCTCACAGGCAGCTTGTCCACCACCTGTTGAAGTTGTTAGCTCACAGGCAGCTTGTCCACCACCTGTTGAAGTTGTTAGCTCACAGGCAGCTTGTCCACCACCTGTTGAAGTTGTTAGCTCACAGGCAGCTTGTCCACCACCTGTTGAAGTTGTTAGCTCACAGGCAGCTTGTCCACCAAATTTTGAAGTTGTTAGCTCACAGGGAGCTTGTCCACCAAATTTTGAAGTTGTTAGCTCACAGGGAGCTTGTCCATCAAATTTTGAAGTTGTTAGCTCACAGGGAGCTTGTCCATCAAATTTTGAAGTTGTTAGCTCACAGGGAGCCTGTCCACTAGATTTTTGTAGAGACTGCTGATACTCTACGATCATCATATTTTATTTTCTGCCTTGCAGGATAACTAGATGTGAAATGCGCTCTATTTAAGGTCACTAACAGCACAAGAAGAGACAGGATTACGAATACCATTATTGGAGAGAAAGCTGGAATCAGACAATGTCTCGCTTATACTGACAACAAAGGGAATGACATGGTTTAGCCATGCGGTGAAAATGCAGTTAGACCAAACTGAATATGGGACTATTTACAGCAGAACATCTGTAGACAAGACGTGAGTAGACAAGGCTGAGTAGACAAGACGTGAGTAGACAAAGCGTGAGTAGACAAGACGTGAGTAGACAAGGCGTGAGTAGACAAGGCGTGAGTAGACAAGGCGTGAGTAGACAAGACGTGAGTAGACAAGACGTGAGTAGACAAGGCTGAGTAGACAAGGCTGAGTAGGCAAGGCTGAGTAGACAAGGCTGAGTAGACAAGGCGTGAGTAGACAAGACGTGAGTAGACAAGACGTGAGTAGACAAGGCGTGAGTAGACAAGGCGTCAGTAGACAAGGCGTGAGTAGACAAGGCGTAAGTAGACAAGGCGTGAGTAGACAAGGCGTAAGTAGACAAGGCGTGAGAAGACAAGGCGTGAGTAGACAAGGCGTAAGTAGACAAGGCGTGAGAAGACAAGGCGTGAGTAGACAAGGCGTAAGTAGACAAGGCGTGAGAAGACCAAGACAGATGGGGATTACTGGTGTTGCTGGAACCTGAACAAAACAAAGATGAGCAAATCCATCACCCAAGCCACCCGATAAGTGCAAAACAAATAAACAAAACCACGACACTAAACTACAACCTGGTATCAGTGAGACGACAAAGCCCTGAAATTAGGCTACAAACTGGTATCAGTGAGGCGATAAAACCATGAAACTGGGCTACAAACTGGTATCAGTGAGACTACAAAACAATGACACCGGACTACAGCCTGATATCAGTGAGTCGACAAAACCATGACACTGGGGCTACAACCTGGTATTAGTGAGACGACAAAACCCTGAAACTGGGCTACAAACTGGTATTATTGAGACGACAAAACCACGACACTGGGCTACAAACTGGTATCAGTGAGACAACAAAACCACGACACTGGGCTACAAACTGGTATTAGTGAGACGACAAAACCACGACACTGGGCTACAAACTGGTTTAAGTGAGACGACAAAACCACGACACTGGGCTAAAAACTGGTGTCAGTGAGACGACAAAACCCTGACACTGGACTACAGCCTGATATCAGTGATACAACAAAACCATGACACTGGGGCTACAACCTCGTATAATTGAGACGACAAAACCCCAAAACTGGGCTACAAACTGGTATTGGTGAGACGACAAAACCACAACACTGGGCTACAAACTGGTATCAGTGAGAC